TCAGTCAAACGCAAAAGCTTAAAACCCGTGTAGACGCATGAATCGTTTTGACATGGCATGCGTGTGAACGTGTTAGAAAGAAAACTATATTCGCAAGTACACACATAGAAGTTTCCGCATATATGCGCTTAATATTTTTATATCTGAGAACACACGAATGTTTTTGTAGAAATCTCTTGTGGGTGCATGAAAGACAAAAATTAGAATGGTCAAAAAACGTAGCATATGTCAGGAACATGCATGAACACGCAGGAGTTTTCTTCTGAAGATAAGGTTCAAACATACATACTTTGTTTTATAAGACAGACTTCTTCACCATTTGACTATTGGCTTAAATTAGAAATACAATGAAAAATAAAGGATATAATGATCACCGGTAGTTCTTAGACACATATGTACATGAATGCTAATAACTATGAGGAATTTCAAGTGAACAAGTTCTTTGAACAAATATACTATGGTTTTATAGAAGACTGACTTATGCGTAAAAATTGTAAATGTTTCAAATGCCTTGCTAAATTGCACATGAGATCAGACGAATCCAAGAGTATTTTACAAGTAAACATATGTTCTAAAAAATTTCTTATAAATACATGTTTTTAAACTTTCACGTTTGACTCGATGTATCTTCAATTTCGGTTCTTGTAGATCTTTTTGATTTGAATAAAAAACGAGATGTTCATCTTTTGTCTCTTTATTTTCCGAATAGATACTTATGAATTTGCAAAATTCTTCTGGTTAGATGTGGTAAAAAATATCAAACCCGAAGTGTTAACACAAAAGATAAAAGTTTATTGGGGTCATTCCGATAAACGAGGTGCCATTGAAGGAACATTATTAGATGATGCTGACTATATTAGTTGGTTCGTAAAAAATAGAAAATGTATACCAACCACTGTAAATACATGTGAGTTATCAAATAAAATTTTTATTGATAGTAAGGATTTGAAAGAACTATGTGGAAAGTATATGTATTTCCCTTCGATTTTATTACCACAAGAAAAAACAAATTGGAATGAGATTTTTAATTTCAAAACAGAACTTTCAATCGATGATTATTTTGATTTACTTCAAAAGATTTGTTACGATGAAAAAAATTTGAAAGATAATCTTGATCGGATACAAATGATATATTTTCATATACTGAAAAAAATATATTACTGGTCATCCGATGAACGAGAAGCAGCGAAAGCGCGAGTCAAGTCACTATATCTCCTCACCGAAAATGAACAATGGAAATTGGCTAGTGATTTATATTTTTATATGGAAGGTAATGGAGCAAATAATAATTTAAATGATGCGATTTCTTGTCTCAAACTTGATTATAAAAATAGAAATCATCCACATTTGACTAAATTCTTGGATTTATGTAATATCAAACAAATTCGAATGAATGATTTAAAACTTGCTGATAAAAAATCTTCTCCTGCTGAACAATTTCGAAGAAAATTAATTGAAATTTCACCATTTTTAAAAAAATGGCTGAAACATTTATCTGTTTCGTCTGATATTATATCATCAGTTGACAAAAAAATTCAGCAAGAAAATGATTTTGTGGAAGCGGATTCTTTAGAATTATTTTACAACCAGAACTTTGTTCAAAAAACAAATGTATATTTTGACAGTAGAAATAAACAATTATATGTTGCACGACCATGGGACAGTGAAACAACATTTATAAATCTTCCGAATAAATTATGTCAATTACTAAATATACATGGATTTGAAGATAAACTTAGATTTTTATTAAAAGGAACAATTGAAGAGATTAAAAAACACTTTGCTAATAATTCGATTGAAATACCAACCAATAATGACATTATTATTTTAGAGCCTTTGTCAAGTGCTAGTAAATACTAGATCAATTTTTCTATCATAAGTCATATGAATCAACTGTTTCATTTGATTTATATATAGATGTCCTAAAGCAACCAAAACCGTGTGCAACAACGCCATCTGACTCAAACAAGTCTAGTCCATCTAATAAAAATAAAGAAATGAATACTTCTAAACCTGAAATTACTCCAGAGACTGCAGAAACACCGATCGCTAATTCAAAAAATCAAAAGAATAACAATGATACTGCTATGAGCTTAAAACAACCATATCCAGTTTTTCCACAACATCCACAATTTACATTTTACGGTAATTATGTCTTAATAAAAACTAATGCAGAACTTATTTTAGAAAAGAATAAGGTACAAGAAAAAATCTAATTTTTGAGAGAACTCTTATTTTAAAGTTCAAAAAAAAATTAAACTAGAGAGAAAATCCTCTCTTTGTATAACATCTACAACTTTTGCAGCTATATACATACATTATTTGCAATCTTCAGAGTTCTTTCAGTACATATTATCTACACTTTTTGATTTTTAATCTGAACATCATAGTCTATCATCTAAGAGCTTGATAACTGTTGGTACCAGTTCATACATTATTTTGATATTTGAGTAAATGTGTTGATCATGCTTTCTCGTATTCCTTTAAAAACATCTATTGAAGTATTTTTTTACTATATCTTCAATTCAAGTACCAATCCAACCGATGAATCTACCAACAGATCCGTGTGGAAGAACATTACCATTCGTTTTTAGTACATCAGAAGACGAAGAAATCGAAAATATTGAATTAATACATGCATCATCAATAACACCATCTAACGGAGTATTATTGGAAAATCTATCCGACGGAACAGGAGAATTTGAAAGTTTTGAGTTAAATACTGGACGTATTGGTGAAGAAATGGTATACAAATATTTATTGAATGAATATCGTGACCATCCAAATCCAGTTATTATCAAATGGTTAAATCAAAACCAAGAAACTCATTTACCTTATGATATTTCATTAACTAAAAATGGAAAAACTCATTATATTGAAGTAAAATCAACACGTGTAAATAATCAACATATATTTCCATTATCAATTAATCAAATTGAAACTTTTTTAAAGCTGAGAGAAAATTATTTCATTTATCGAGTATATATAGGCGAGAAAAAGTTTATCATTTTAGATAATATTCCATGGCGTTTAATCAAGGGGGAAACACCGTACTTTGTACTTTAATGTACTTATATAGTTCAAGGCATATTTAACGGTACTCTCTATAACTCTTTAAGGGTTGTCTAGGGTACTCTCCACATTTGCTCAAGCGCTATCTAGGGACAGTCTCTATGAATCTTCAAGACCTATCCAAGGGTAGTGTTCATATTTCTTCAAGGGCTATCTCGGAGTATTCTTAATATCTTTTCCAGGCCTATCTCGAGGTAATCTTCATAACTCTTTCAGGCCTATCTGGGGATATCTTTGTAACTCTTCAAAGGCCATCCGCAAGTAGTGTTCATAACTCTTCAAGGACAATGTAGGGGCACGATTGATATTTCTTCAGGGCTTGTCCAGGGGTAGTGTTGATATTTCTTCAAGGGCTATCTAGGGGCACTCTTATTATCTCTTCAAGGCCTATTCGAGGTAATGCCAAGGAGGAAACACCGTACTTTGTACTTTAAAGTACTTTAAGGTACTTTGAAGTACTTTAATGTACTTCAAAGTACTTTAATGTACTTCAAAGTACTTTATTGTGCTTTGATATACTTCAAGCTACTTTAAGATACTTCAATGTGCTTATATACATCAAGGCCTATCCACGAGTAGTCTTCATAACTCTTCAAGGCCTATCTACGGGTAGTCTTCATAACTCTTCAACGGCTATCTAGGGGTAGGGGGAGTTACCATTACCAAGTAACTAGTAACAGAAAGTTTGCGGTTCTTCCATTTTCATTTACGCGTCATTTTTTTGTTCCTTCTCGAATACCTATCCTATAGAACTGCCCCTAGGGCCTCACATCCTATGTTTCCGGAGGTACTTGTAGGTCTTCAAGTTCTACCTTATAGGGGAACCTTAGGTCATTATACCCTATTGTATAGGGGTACCCTTACGTCCTCAAGTGCTATAGTACAGGTGTCTCTTAGATCCTCAACAGCTATACTATAACGGTACCTTAGGTCCCCAAGGCCTATACTATAAGGGAATCCATAGGTCCTCACAAGCTATACTATAGGGATATTCCTAGGTTCTCACAGCCTATAGTATAGAAATACCCTTAGGTCCTCAAGTGCTATACTATAAGGATACCCTTAGGTCCTCAAAGCCTATACTATAAGGGAATCCTTAGATCCTCAAATGCTATACTATAAGGGAACCCTTAGCTCCTCAAGGCCCATACTACAGAGGTACCTTTAGGTCCTCAAGACCTATACTATAAAGGAATCCTTAGTCCTCATGTGATACACTACATGGATACCCTTATACCCTCAAGTGCTATATTATAAAGGTACCCTTAGGTCGTCAGCAGCTGTACTATATGGATACCCTGAGGTCCACAAGGCATTTACTGTAACCTATAGTATAGCACTTGAGGATCTGACGCTATCGTTATAGTATAGGTTCTGAAGAACTAAGGGTAACTCTGTAGTATAGGGTTTGAGGACCTAAGGGTTAGGGGTGCAACGATGACGATAACCGTAGGTACGGTTACCGGTCTAACCAAGGGGGAAAGGGCATACTTCTGTACTTCTTGTACTTCTTCGTACTTCTCCGTACTTCTCGGTACTTCTTGGTACTTCTTGATACTTCTTGGTACTGTTTGATACTTCTTGGAACTTCTCGGTACTCCTTGAGACTTCTCGGTACTTCTGTACTTCTGCGTACTTCAGAGGTACAGAAGTATGCCTTTTCCCCCTTGGGTCTAACTAAGATAACAGTAAGTACGGCTATCAGTCCGAGCCCGTTTTCACGAAGGAAAGAGTTTTTTAAGAAAATAATGACTCCTTATAAAGGTTCACGAAAGTAAATCGGGGTCGAAGAATCCGAATCTGAAGTTAGTTTTTCGATCTGTGCTTCCATTGGTCAGAAAATGGACCAATCGGAAACGAGCTTTTTTCCCTCCACTGGGGGAGGATCATATGGAATAAAATGAGTTTGTGACCTCGCAGTCATTGGGATAGTAACGCATTCAGATGCGTTTGCGTGATTATAGGCCGGATAATCTCCATAATATCAAATATATATGAAGTTTCTTCAGGCAGGCAGTTCAGCCAATTAAATATTTTCGGCGTTCCCTATGAGTCCGTCAAGCTTTATTTATTTCATATCACCGTCCCTTCAGTCGAGGGAAAAAAGCTGGTTTCTGATTGGTCTATTTTCTGACTAATGAAAGCTCAGACAGCATAACTGACTTCAGATTTGGATCCCTGGATATCGATAACATATTGCAAAGTTTTATCAAAAGGTCGAAAAGCCTTAATATAAAAAAGCGCATTTCCGATTGGTCCATTTTCTAACCAATGAAAGCTCAGATCTAAGAAAAGACTTCATATTCAAATTCCTGGATATCGATAACGTTTTGCAAAGTTTTATCAAAAGGTCGAAAAGCCTCAAAATAAAAAATCTCGTTTGTGATTGGTCCATTTTCTGACCAATGAAAACTCAGATCGAAAAACTAAGTTCAGGTTCCGATTTCTTCGACCCCGATTTACTTTCGTCAACCTTTATAAAAAGTCGTTATTTTCTTAAAAAACTCTTTCCGTCGTGAAAACGTGCTTGCATTGATAACCGTACTTACTGTTATCTTAGTTAGACCGGTACCCGTACCTACTGCTATTGTAGATGGGCCGATAACCGTACCTACGGTTATCGTAGTTAGAGCGGTAACCGTACCTACGGTTAGCGGTTTGGACCGGTGAAAGGATGACGGTATACCGGTGAATGATCGTCGCCGTTGCATCCCTACTAAGGGTTCCCTTATAGTATGGCTGTTGAGGACTAAGGGTATCCCTATAGTATAGCATGTGAGGGTCTAAGGGTTCCCTAATAGCATAGGGCTTGAGGATCTAAGAGTACCTCTATAGTGTAGGCCTTGAGGACCTATGGATTCCCTTCTGGTATAGGCCTTGAAGAGTCATGAGGATTACCCTTGAATAGTCTTCAAAGAGATATGAAGGCTGCCCCTAGATAGCACATGAAAAGTTATAGAAAATACTCCTAGGTACCTTGTAAAAAAATAGTATAATTTAATTTGTATCTAATAAATTATAAAAAGCAAACGAGTGAAATTTAATATTAATTACTCATAATTGAAATTTATATTAAATCAGCAGGAAAATGACATCCCAACTTTAAGATACTTTAATGTACTTTTAAGGTACTTTAAACTACTTTAATGTACTTCAAAGTACTTTAAGGTACTTTGAAGTACTTTGAAGTACTTTGAAGTACTTTAAAGTACTTTGAGGTACTTTAAGGTACTTTAAAGTACTTTAAGTACTTTGAAGTACTTTAAGGTACTTTAAAGTACAAAAGTACGGTGTTTCCCCCTTGCGTTTAATGCAAAAACAATTGACTTGTTTTTTAAGAATTCTACCAAGACCGTCTGATTAAACTCTATCAAAAGATGATTAAAATATAAACATTAAATAAAGCTTGTCTGTTTTCTATATTTCGATTCGTAGATTCTTTAGTATCTCTTTTATATAAATAAAAATAACGGCTTTTTCATTGTTTCTTTTCAACATAAAAGAATTAAACAATCTATAAGGATAATTTAAATATTAAAAACTTATTCTTTGTATACCTATCGTTGAAAAAAGATTTATCAATTGTTTTATGATTAGTAAAGAGTTTCCGAAATGAACATTCGAAAAGACACTGTGTTGCAATGACATAATCCAATAATAATTTTATGTATGTTTTTTCATTAATGAACGACTTATTAAATCAAGTTTGCAATACGTAAGTCAATGATCATAAAAATTGTTGGAGATATTTCTAATGACTGAACTTCGATTTTTTAACTCGAGTTGTACAATAATCTTCTTATCTACATAAAAAAGTTAGATTAATTTAGTTATATCAGCACAGCAAAAATCTTGTTATACAAGCAGAAATGGCACTGCACTTTTCTCTAACACGAAGGTAAATACTTTGAGAAGACGAGTGAAGTCTAATGCTCACTGAAGAAGAACAGCTTTTACGTGATTAAAAAATAACTTTTAATGAATTCCTTTTTTTATATCTACGTAATTGACTATCAACTCTTACTTTTATTCATTTAAAAATAAATTAGTTGAATTTAATCGATGATTTGGACAGTATCAAGACTACTTTTGATGTTACCCCGTAATTATCATGGTACAATTCGAGATTAAAAAAAATCGAAGTTTAATTATTAGAAATATTTCCAACAATTTTGATAATTGTTGAGTTATGTGTTGCAAACTTAATTTAATAAGCCACTTCATTAATGAAAAAAAAAAGTATTAATCATTATTGAACTATGCCATTGCGACAAATTGTCCGGTCACCAATATCAATTTCGAAACAAATATCTTAAGGAATATTAATATTATTACATTCTGTTAGTAGTGCCGAGTCGAGCTAATACATAAATTTCAACTTCGTGTAACTGATGAATCAGTTGTATATATTTATTAGCTAAAACTTTGCTTTTTGTCACCATCCATTCTGATTGATTAATTAGAATACAAAACATTTTTTCAAATAAGAACTAAATCAACTACTTCAACTATCAAACTTCACGCCATAAGATTTCATTGTTAGTTGTATTTTTGAAAATATGTACAATTTGTTTTTAATTTTATATAGAGAATAACATACTCGTAATTCAGATATTGATAGTAGTGATTATTATGAAGACCGACATGTTCACTTTCATTTGTTCTTGCTTTTCTTCTATTGAAATTTTGAGTTCTTATATTTGGGACGTCCTACAGTTTACTATTGTAAATACATAGCATGATCTGATGAATATATCGAATGTGCTTGTATGTACATATGTAGTTATTCTTAATAACATACTTCACCTTGATCGATACGAAAACAACCGTTATAAATCACAGACAAAGCCAACAAATAAATATCTCATTCATACAGAATATATAGATGCATAAATATTTTTTTGTAAAAATTAAAGAGGTAAATTGTTACTATCCCTTTCTCTCTTGCAGTTATACATACACACAGATTAATCTTATGACTGACGTCGCGAAAT